ATTCTATATATATCTGTAATCCTTGTCACGACCACTACAACTTTCTTAATAAATACCGGCTTTATCTAATATTTATTTTCGACGCTCATTTTTAGTCTTAATTAATTAAACCCTAATAATTAAGCATAAAACACATAATATTCACATAATTCCTTTTCATTTCTTCAAAATGAGTCACAAAGGTTAACCTAGACTATTATGTAAACATTAATGCCTAGCCTAGAAACACGGGCATTACATTGTATCGCAGGGTAAATAAGGGGAAAAGACATAAATGCCCTACAATGTTTCTAGGGTTGGTCGATTCACTCCCTATAGTTATTTGGTTGCTTTATGGGGGCATAAAGTCGATGTCCATCTGCTCTTTTGATGACTACTAGCTAATATAGTATGTTTCCTAGCCACATAAGCACTTTGACCTGACTTTGTGATGATGCATGGTTGGATAGAAGTATCCTCTACATCGACGACTACAACATCAATGACTACATACATGTTACTTTCAATGGCCATATTACATATGGTGGTTATTCAGTTCAAGATCAAGCTCTTCATCTATGGTCAAAGGTGAGGGTTTTGTTATTATGTGGTAAAAAGTACTGTGCAGTGCTATGTATAATTTTTTTACCAATTGTTGTATATCGCCTGCTGATTTGGGGTTTGTTTGTGTTCTAGAATTGAAGTCGTTATTAGGCCAATTATTACTTAAGGGTTTGTGGGGTTTCGTTGTAATTGAAGATTGTGATCTAATAATTTTCAGTTTTTGGGGGTATATACTCCTAGTTACATGTTATTGCTAGTAAAATTAAACCATTTTACGGTTTATCACAAAATCATAGCGAGGGTAACATGAATTTATATGATCAAGAAGAGAATGAAGTGTTGAATAAGTATATATATATATATATATATATATATATATATATATATATAAGTTCAATCATGTTGTTTACACAATATACCTCGATTTATTTCTTGATTAATGATAATCGATCATTCCAGATTCTAGGTTTACACAATAAGAACTTCTCGTTTGGAAACCAACCTTAACCCCAGGATGGGTGATCACATTGTTTCTAGAAATCGTCATGCTTTTCATCCCAAAAGGATATATTATAATTATAGATATATTACTTTTACTTATATAATCATGAAGAACACATTTTTTCCGAACATATCTTTTTTACTGAGATTTGATGGGGACCTCTTGATTCATGCCTGCGTTTGTAATTTCGGGAAGAATGATGAATCGGTTAGCAACATAATAGTAAAGTCATAAAAACTATCACTACAAGTATTTTATGGTCACCGTTAAAACTCTTATTTGTATCATAGGGTAAATAAGGGGAAAAGACATAAATGCCCTACAATGTTTCTAGGGTTGGTCGATTCACTCCCTATAGTTATTTGGTTGCTTTCTGGGGGCATAAAGTTCATGTCTATTTGCTCTTTTGGTCACTACTAGCTAATATAGCATGTTTCCTAGCCACATAAGAAATTTGACCTGACTTTGAGATGATGCATGGTTGGATAGAAGTATCCTCTGCTTCGACGAGTACAACATCAATGACTACATACATGTTACTTTCGATGGCTAAATTACATATGGTGGTTATTTAGTTCAAGATCAAGCTCTTCATCTATGGTCAAAGGTGAGGGTTTTATTATTATGTGGTAAAAAGTACTGTGCAGTGCTATGTATAATTTTTTTACCAATTGTTGTATATCGCCTGCTGATTTGGGGTTTGTTTGTGTTCTGGAATTGAAGTCGTTATTAGGCCAATTATTACTTAAGGGTTTGTGGGGTTTCATTGTAATTGGAGATTGTGATCTAATAATTTTCAGTTTTTGGGGGTATATACTCCTAGTTACATGTTATTGCTAGTAAAATTAAACCATTTTACGGTTTATCACAAAATCACTGTAACATCCGGATTCCCAGGTATCTTATTTTATGTATTTTTATTGAGTATTAGAGAGGGACTCGGCGAGTAGACGCTTAAACTCGCCGAGTAGGAGCGACATTGCTGACTGTATTAAATGAATGGACTCGGCGAGTCCATGCGTGGACTCGGCGAGTCCGCGCTGTAAAGTGAAACCCTAATCCTCGGGCCCTGAGCCCTATTTAAAGGCCTTTATGGCCTCCATTTGCGGCCAATGCACCCCAGAGGAACCCTAGAGAGAGCAGTAAGAGAGTTGAGAGCAAAAGGAGGCTATTTCTTCATCTTTTTTGTGTGGTTTGGCTTGAAGGAAGATAAGAGCACTCATCTAGAGCGTGAAGGGGGGCTGGATCTGAGCTAATCATCTCGTGGTATCATCTTTGGAGGTATAAACCTTTCCCATTTCGTGTTATATTGATGGATTTCTTGCTTTTAGGGTTTTTACCCTCATTTTATGAAAGATCTAGAGAGTTTGAGGTCCACTTTGGGATTATGACATCAGATCTGGACCCATAGAGGTCCAGAGAACCTTTCCCACTCTGCTTTATGCTGATTCATGGAGGATTGGAGACTAGGTTGCCATTTCTAGTGTTATTTCTCCATTTGAGGCTTGATATGGGTTGCATGCACGTAAAGGTTGCACCTTTACGTGACTTTTGAGTGTTAAAAGGATGGATCTACTGTTTGGTGAAGCAGATCTGACCTCAAAAGATCTTTTGAGGGTTTTCATGGGAGGAACTCGCCGAGTCCATAAGGGACTCGACGAGTTGAGTCGGGTTGCCCCGCGACTCGCGACCTGTGACGACCCATGGAGCACCGGGTTGACCAGCGAGTCCAGGGAGGACCAGGGACGAAGAGTACAGACATATACTCGCTAAGTCACTCTAGTGCACTCAGCGAGTCCGGTCAATGTTGACCGTTGACTTTTGTTGACTTTTAGGGTTTAGTCAGTGGGTGGACTTATGAGCCATTAGAGGGGCAGATTGGTCTTTTGCACGTCTTAGAGAACTTATAGAGAGGGGTTGACCTAGCCTTTAGAAGTTGTATTAATTAGAGTAATTATTTATGTGGTTAGGCGAAGGCTAGCGCAGTAATTCAGAGTTCGAGATTTACCGAGTCACCCGAGGTGAGTCTTCTCACTATACTTTACCTTGAGTGGTAATAGAGCTATGTGACAGAGTATCTTGTATGTTATGTATGTGATGTGTTGCACTGCATTATTTCTATGTGATATATGTTGTGTGTATTCCAGAGTTACAGAGTTAGAACCGGAAGGTTCACAGAGTTAGGACCAGAGGGTCCATAGAGTTAGGACCGGAGGGTCCACAGAGTTATAGCCTCGAGTGGCTAATATGTGTTACATGTGATATTTTAGGGAACTCACTAAGCATTTATGCTTACAGTGTTGTGTTATGTGTTTCAGGTACCAATGAGGATCGCGGGAAGGCGCCGGCATGATCAGTACACACATGAGGAGCTTTTTATACTTGTGATCTTGGGATATGTTTTCTTGAGTGTTATGTGATACAATGAGATTTTTATAATATTGTGAATGAAATTATGTTTTTAGAATGTGAAAAATTGTTTGAAAAATTTGGGTGTTACAATCATACCGAGGGTAACATGAATTTATATGATCAAGAAGAGAATGAAGTGTTGAATGAAAGTTCAATCATGTTTTTACACAATATACCTCGATTTATTTCTTGACTAATGATAATCGATCGTTCCAGATTCTAGGTTTACACAACAAGAACTTCCCGTTTGGAAACCAACCTTAACCCTAGGATGGTTGATCACATCGTTTCTAGCAATCGCCATGTTTTTCATCCCCAAAAGGATATATTATAATTATAGATATATTATTTTTACTTATATAATCATGAAGAACACATTTTTTCCGAACATATCTTTTTTACTGAGATTTGATGGGGTCCTATTGATTCATGCATGCGTTTGTAATTTGGGGAAGAATGATGAATCGATTAGCAACATAATAGTAAAGTCATAAAGACTGTCACTACAAGTATTTTATGGTCACCATTTAAACTCTTGTGGATGACTAAGGTGTCGTTTGTTTTTACGAAGTGAAAATGTTTGAAGTATGCGGATCACCTCTGCAACCCTCTGTAGTAGCAGAAGAGGGGGACCAAACGGCCGCAACATGTAATACAAAGTTTGTTTTTTTTTAACATCTGCAGACTACTGCAATAAGTAAACGTAAGGCATGAAGAAGTTTGAAGCAGAAGGTCAAGTGTTGCGCCACGCAGCACACGCGCAACAGTTTTTAAGTCAGAAATCTCCTGAAAAACAAACAGCCGTGAAAGCCAAATGTTGTGCGTGTGTTGCGCGGCTAAGTGGTTAGAAGTTGTTTTTTAAAAAAACAAACAACACTTAAATGTAAACATTTGTCACTATATATAAAAAAAACTTGTCATTATGACTATTTTATGGTGATAAATATATATGTGATTTGTTTCTAAACATAAAAATAATCACGATAAAATATTAAACATGTGCCTATAAATTCTCAATAGTCATCATAAAAGAAATAAAACATTACAATAGTTAATTTATGATGATGGTTTAATAGTTTGAGTGACTAAACGTACACAGTAGGCTTAATCTTAATATAAGAATATTCTGGTGACAAAAACTATTATATAGGGATATTTTAACTTGTGATATGTTTATAGACCTAATAATAGCCAGCATAAAAGATGAAACTAGTGATTACAAGAATTTTTTTGGTATCGGTCTGACCTATATATGGTAACACTTTTAATGAAATAAATAACCGTCAACTTCTACTAGTTTCAAGGGTTGCCTTGGAAATTAAACAAAAATTAGAACAAAATTTCAATTTATATTAGTTGTACAAGTTAAATTTTGTGGTGTTCTACAAGATTCCTTTCGAGATGATTAAATGAGATTTTAAAATACACCTCATCCCCCTTGTGAAGACCCCACCAGTAGATTTAATTAATAAGAGAGTTTGGCGTCAACTTCTAACATAAAAAGAAGTCGTGGTGCATTCGTGTAGATACAACATTACTTCTTTTTGTGTATTTGACTTGGTGCATTTTGTCGCCTCAACTTCTTGAAACCTTCAATGGGGTCTTTCCGGTCGTATCAATCTTCTTCTGTCTTCTGCACCAACTAGAAGATGGAGATATGATGTGTTCCTAAGCTTTAGGGGGGAAGACACTCGCAACAACTTTGTAGATCATCTATATGCGGCTCTTGATCAAAGAGGAATACATGTGTTCAAAGACGATAAGGCACTTCATAAAGGGAAACCAATATCCCGAGAGCTGCTGGAAGCCATTGAAGAATCAAAGTTTGCTGTTGTTATTTTCTCTAAACATTATGCCAACTCTTCATGGTGTTTGGATGAGCTTGTCAAAATCATGGAAGGCCGAGATCAGACCGGACAGATGGTGTTACCGGTGTTTTATCATGTAGATCCATCCCATGTGCGTGGACAGAAAAGAGACTTCGATACTGCCTTCCAGCAACACGATGACAAGTTTAGGGGAGAGATAGATAAAGTAAACAAGTTGAGGAAAGCTTTAGCTGCAGCTGCCGGTCTATCTGGCTGGCATGTCTCGGAAACAGGCAATGGGTTAGCTCTCCTAAATCTGTTGTTCAATTTCTAAAATGGAGTTATGAACATAGTTTCTAATGCTCTGTTAGATTATTGTGTTACAAATTATAAGAATTTTGTGCAAAACTATTTGGTAACCAATTATAGCATGGGCTAATTTCTATTAACCGGTTGCATTACGATTTTATTACTTACAATGCTAACCTTTCAATTAGATCCATTGGGCGTTGACATCCCCATACTGGTCAGTGAACTTGCTAACAATGCTTAAATCTGTAGGGGTGAATCTGTGGGATAAGTAATTTTGACTTGGTCCTTTGTTGACCTTGTCTAAAGAAATAAGTGGAGTAGCTGCCACCTATTTAGGAGGACACGTTTTTTTTTTTCAGTTTTTAGCATAGCAGTTCTTTTATTTGTTTGTTATTTAAAAGCCTTGTGAGTTCTTATTTTCATTATCCGAAATCAATAAGAAGAAAATTGGGAATATTTCCCTGCAACTATGTGTTTTGCTTTATTTGGGTATAAGCTTAAAGTGATCTGAACGCGGGCCTATACCAACACTTGGTATTAGAGCTTTCCAGTATATGCCCAAATACATAAGATACGACAACATGACAGGTTCATTCAACAGGTACCAAAAGATAACGGTGGGGTGTCGTTCCAGTTTCCATTGTTGACTTCAACAAACTATACCACGTGGGCAATCAAGATGGAGGCTATCATGGATGCTCAAGGTGTTTGGGAATCCATAGAACCAATAGTCGGAGTGACTGTTGATAAGAAGAAGAACAAGATAGCACGAGCCTACATCTTCCAAGAAATACCAGAGGACATTCTCATGCAGGTAGCAAAGAAGAAAACCGCAAAAGAGGTGTGGGAATCTTTGAAAATCCAGTACCTGGGTGCAGATCGAGTGCAAAAGGCGAGGTTGCACTCACTCAAGAGTGAGTTTGATGCACTGAGGATGAAAGAAGGAGAGACCATAGATGAATTCGCAGGAAAGTTGAGTGGGATTAACTCAAAATACATCAGTCTTGGTGCAACAATAGAAGATAGCACTTTGGTGAGAAAGTTGCTTGATTATGTCCCAGAAAAGTATCTACAACTTGTGGCCTCCATTGAACAATATTCAGATTTGGATACCATGCCGTTTGAAGAAGCCAAAGGAAGACTCAAAGCTTATGAGGATCGGTTGAGAAGTCGTACCGAAACCACAAATTTTGAAGCGAGTCTGTTGCTCACTCGATCTGAAGGGGAAATGGGTCAAAAGTCAAACAAAGGCTCCAACAATTCAGCAGGAAGAGGTCGTGGATCTTCTAATGAAAGGGGAGGTCGAGGAGGTTATCGAGGAAGAGGTTCAAGGGGCAGAGGAGGCCGAGGCAATCATCAACCATCCCGTGATACAAGCAATGGTCGAGGAAAGGGAAGAGACAAAAGTCACATAAAATGTTTTAATTGTGACTTGTTTGGACACTTTGCATCGGAGTACCCAAATCCCAAGAGAAAGGAAGCTGATATTAATCTCACACAGGTACAGGATGAAGAACATGCGCTATTGTTAACTGTATGGGGTGAAGATACAGATGAATGGGTGTTGCTCAATGAAGACAAAGTATTCCCAGCAACAAAAGGGAATGAGAAGGACACATGGTACTTGGATAATGGGGCCAGTAATCACATGACAGGGGTGCGAGAATACTTTGCAGAACTTGACGAAAGAATAACAGGGCAAGTGAAATTCGGGGACGGATCCAAAGTACAAATCAAAGGAAGAGGAACAATTCTGTTGGAGTGTAAAAATGGGGAGCAACAGATAATATATGAAGTATATTACATCACTGCCTTGAAGAGTAATATACTTAGCCTTGGTCAAATGATAGAGGTAGGGTAAAAAATTGAGATGATTCATGAATTTTTGAGAGTTCATGATGCAAGAAATTGGCTGGTCATGAAGGTACAACACTCAAGAAATCGGTTGTACAAGATTGTTCTCCATACTTCACAACCAATATGTCTCGGTGCAAGTTTGGACGATGTTTCTTGGCTTTGGTATGCCAGGCTGGGGCATATAAATTTTCCCTTGATTGAGTCCATGGTGGAGAAAGAACCGGTGATTGGAGTGTCGAGAATCAACCATCCCACACAAGTTTGTGAAGGATGTCTAGTCGCCAAACAAACACAACAACCGTTCCCAAAAGAAACTCAATGGCAAGCAAGGAATCCTCTAGAATTGGTACACGCAGACCTCTGTGGCCCAATAACACCCCAAACTATAGGAGGTAATCAATACTTCCTTTTCATAGTAGATGATTATAGCAGGTATATGTGGGTGACGATGATCAGAACCAAAAGTGAAGCATTTGATGCGTTCAAGAAGTTCAAGAATCGTGTAGAAGATGAAGGGAAGTTCAAACTAAAGATGTTGTGCACAGACCGAGGAGGTGAATTCGCGTCTTAAGAATTCACTGATTATTGCAACCAGGAGGGAATTAAAAGACAATTGACAACGCCATACTCCCCACAACAGAATGGGGTAGTAGAGCGCCGAAACCGGACGATTCTTGAAGTCACCAGATCAATACTACTGAAGGCAATGGAAGTACCAGAAAAACTTTGGGGGAAGCTGTACGCCACACAGTTCAAATACTCAACAGAGTTCCAACAAAAGGAGTCAAGGGTATGACCCCATACGAAGGAATGCAAAGGAAGAAGCCAACACTTGAACAATTTAAAGTGTTTGGCTGTGTTGCCCATGTAAAAGTGCCATCGAATTAGCTCACAAAGTTGAGTGATAGAAGTGAGAAGATGATCTATCTAGGAAACGAGGAGGGAACAAAAGGGTATTGCTTGTATTGCCCTAATCGGAAGAGAATTTGGGTATCACGTGATGTTATATTCGAAGAGAAAAAGGAAGGGGATTGGGCTCTGTCGCAATCTGAAGGCCCAATTTTAAATGATTGGGTCTGATTTCCCAGTGAAGTTATGACCCAAGAATTTGTGGTGGGGAACGATCCAATACAATGGGAGATGGCAAGCCCTAATTCACAATCCCACGAAAGCCACTCACAACCGACATCACCTGGTCAATCACGAGCTAGCAACGAATGGGGTGAATCACCAAATTCATTTGTGGGCACCTTATCTCAATCATCTGACGAAGTTCCTAGTGTAGACAGAGAAACATACGATGACACACCAGTCCGTGGTTTTCGGTCCTTGACGGATATATACGAGGAAATGCAAGCCTTACAAGAAGATTCGAAAGTTTTAATGTATGCATGAGAAGAACCCAGCACTTATGAAGAAGCCTCGGGTGAAGAGGAGTGGATAAAAGTAATGAAACAGGAGTTGGAATCTGTTGAAAATAATAATATTTGGAAGTTAACTCACCTTGCTAAAGGTCAAAAAGCAATAGGTCTAAAGTGGGTCTTTAAATTGAAGAAAGATGTTGAAGGAAACGTGACCAAATACAAGGCTAGGATAGTCACCAAGGGATACGTACAGAAAAAGGGTATCGATTTTGATGAGGTTTTTGCACCGGTAGCACGTCTGGAAACAATACGGGCATTGTTGGCCTTGGCAGCAAGTGGAGGATGGAAACTTCACCATTTGGATGTGAAATCAACATTTTTAAATGAGTTTTTACAGGAGGAAGTATATGTTACACAACCAACTGGCTTTGTCATTGAAGGAAAAGTGAACATGGTGTACAGGTTGAACAAGACACTCTATGGTCTCCGTCAGGCTCCGAGAGCTTGGAATGATAGACTTGACAAAACATTGAAAGAGATGGGATTCAAGAGATGTCCACAAGAGTATGTTGTGTATAAACTCCATAAGTCAAACCAATTCTTGACAGTTGGAGTTTACGTGGATGATCTGATCGTAACAGGAACAAGTGAAGAGTTGCTGAATGAGTTCAAAAAACGAATGCTGAATATCTTTGACATGAGTGACTTGTGAATTCTATCCTACTACTTAGGGATAGAAGTTCACCAAAGAAAAGATGGCATCACAATAATTCAAACAGGGTATGCTAAGAAGATTCGTCAAATAGAAAGAATGGGAGAGTGTAACCCAACTCAATACCCAATGGAAACTCATCTGCGCTTAACAAAGGATGAAGATGGAGTGTCGGTTAATGCTACTGATTACCGGCGACTTATTGGCAGCCTTCGTTACCTCATACACTCGAGACCGGATCTTAGCTATTTAGTGGGAGTAGTAAGCAGGTACATGGAATCACCAAAGGAAAGTCATCTAAAGACAGTCAAACATATTTTAAGGTACATAAAGGGAACAACCAACTTTGGTTTAGTGTACATGAAAGGTATCACACCCCAAAACCGAAACGGCGGAATCGTTCGGGGGGGTGGAGGACATCATGTTCAGTATCACAACAATGCAAAGTAGTAAACAAGCAACAACATCGTCCATTGCATTAATAATATAATTTCATACAAGTGTGTTCTGTCAAGTTATATAGACACCAAAAATATACATCAAAATAAAAGATGAGTCTTGAACGAGCTCCATCTTCTCAAAAACCTGGCTCCGGTACCTGTCTACTGGCGACCTGAGAATACAAGTTTTTTTGAAAGAGTTTATCAGCTTTAAAGCTGGTGAGATCATAAGTCTATTAGTGTCTGTGTTTGTATGAAATTATTTGTAAGATGTTTGTAAAGTATAAGTTTTGTAAAAGTTTGTATTTGTTTGAACTCTCCTAGAAAACCCTATGTTTCCTACTAAAAGTAGCCTTCTACCAAGGCATCTAGTGTCTATGTGTGTGTCTCTTGTAAGAGGGTGTATTTTCCCAAATCTGACTATCATTAACCAAAAATATAGTTCTTACATTATTTTTTATTGTGTGAATATCACAAAGTAAATGTAAAGGGAAAATGAAATAGTACTGTAGTGTTGTATTAAGTAACTACTGTTGTACTAATTACTTTAAACCTATTGTTATTTAAAGTACCATGTGATCGGCCTCTACCCTGCTACCGACTCTAGTAAAACGACAATGTAAGATGTCGTAGAAATGACGTTTGGCACCCGTAGACTTGCAAGTCCCACTGTAGCGAGCAGCAAGGTGTAGGATAGTCAATCCAGTATAGATCTATACACAAACTCATACGCTCCCCAATTAAGGAGATTCTGGATACAAAACGGGTCATGACAGGTAGTGTCATGCCCCCGTTAAGTGGCTCACATAACTGTATTGGAATGTATATGTATATGTATGTGCTAGCTGTATTGTGTGTTCTTTCTCTGTCTAGCTTGTATCTTTTGTTTCTCATCACCGTGTATTATGTTTGTTTCTCATCACTCTGTATTATGTTTGTTTCTCATCACTCTGTATTATGTTTGTTTCTCATCACTATGTATTATGTTTGTTTCTCATCACTCTGTATTATGTTTGTTTCTCATCACTATGTATTACTTATGAATGAACTGACTCGTTGTATGTTTCATTGTTCTAGTAATAGTATCTTCCTAAACTATACCTATTATACTTTACTAGTAATGTTGTTTGTGTATATGAACATGTTTGTATACCTTTGCTACCCAAAGGCATTGAATCTGAATGAAAGAAGTAACCTTTTATATCTATATATGTATACATGATATATAACTATTATTTAGACGACATTCGGATGAATAACCGATACCCCAAGGCCACATCCAAACAAGGAAAAGGGAATAAGGTGAGCTAACCTTCCTAAGTCCTTTAAACATTACTTATATAACTATACATATATAGGTATACATTTGTCAATATAACAGAATATAAGTTTAAAAGAGTTTACTAAAAGTATTTGATAAGTAAAA